AGAGAGACATAGAGACAGAAAGCGAGAAATCACCCCCCAGGGGGGATGGTCACACCGCAATCCCTTCTCCTCCATTCTCCTCTCGGGATCTTGGGCATGCACGCACACGCGCCCAGCGTGAGTTTTAAGCCACCGGGTCCGGGACACGAACCGCGGTCGACTACGTGGGAGTCCAGCGACATAGCCATTACACTAACTGCTGGTTCTCGAAGTACCATTGGCTTTTAAAAACCAATTTACCTACATTCCATATCATAGTTAATTAATTTGGTAGGAAAATATTTATGAAAATGGTTTAAAATTCTAAAATAAATTTGAACACTTTACATTATCAACTATTATTATTAATGATAAGGTTTAGGTCATACCTGCATGTAGAACACAGTAGCACACACAATTTAATTTATATAATTCAGATTTGAAAATTGATTGAAAAATATTAAAACTGGACATATTGTATATAGACCGTAGACCAGTATAAGTTATGGAAACTGAAAGTGTGACTTATACATATAGTAACATTTTTTGGAGTTTATTTATTTCTTCAATGGGGGGGGGCAACCAGAACAGGATCTTCATGCCACAACCCACCTCAGCATCAGTCAGCTCTGGATCATAGACACTAGCATGCTCAACATGTTTAGGGAAGGTTCTGGACATGAACCCAAACCTTCCCATGTGTGCAGCCTTGTAGACCATTATGTGATCACTGTACTGCTGTTCAGCTGAATTTGGGTTAAGACTGCAGTGGTTGCTGTCTAAGGAGTCAGTAACCTTTTAAAATTGCCCTTTGTCCCTTGGTATTAGCAAAGTACACTGATACACAGTTCTAGGTAGGCTGTAGAGTTATAAGCATTTAGAGAGAAGGAACCATGTCTATAAATATTTCCTTGTCCACATACAGAAGTGTGTTCACTGAACTTTATGGAGTGTTGGTTTCTCACTTGTAGGGCACGCTTGCAGAGAGGATTCGTGCCGGGGGGGCCGGAGTTCCTGCGTTTTACACCAGCACAGGGTACGGGACCCTGGTACAAGAAGGAGGATCACCTATTAAATACAACAAAGATGGCAGTGTTGCCATTGCCAGTAGGCCAAGAGAGGTAAGATGCACTCACGTCCAGGTTGTCCAGGTAATACCAGGTTACCTCTTTCCACATGGAATAAAATCACCTTTGTGTGAGAAGACACTCATTCACTGCTACAAATAAGTGAACATGCTAGTTAAATCTGGACATCTGCTGGTAATCAAAATCCTATAAAGAAACTAGAAAAACTAAGAAAATAAACCATACTCCATGTACAGTGTACTAGTCAAGATCAGTTATCTGAACTGATTTTATGGTAGGTTTTCACAGATTTAGGAACATTTATCATTGCTGCTTTTGCTTACATGGAAAACAGAGTAGTTGTAAGACATGTAAAATGTTTAACACTTCATGCTCAGATCTTCCCTAATGTGACTAAAGGAAGAAAAAAGCCAAGGAAACCTTAAGTTTATTTGAAATCTTGAAAAGCAGATAACACTTATAATTATAGAAAGGAATAAATAGAACATACATAGTAGTCTTCAAAAAGTTAATGAAAAATTCATACTATGAAAAAATTCTGCATTTTCAGAATTTTTTATACCAAAATAAACTTGTAATTTAATTTCATTTTCCCACAAAGTTCTTTAAGTTCTCTTGCATTCTCACCTTTATATTTTGTGTCTTGAACACTCATGAGCTTTTGCCTTAATAACCTGTTTACTTCTGGAGTATTAGGTAGAATGGGGTACTTTTCTTTTTTTCTTTCTTTAGGGAGCATGCACTTGTGAGAGAGACAAAGAGACAGTGAGAGGGAAAATGAGGAAGCACCCTGTGGGGGGATGGCCATGCTGCAATTCCCTTCTCCATATTCTCCTGGAATTTTGAGCATGTAAGCACATGTGCCCAGTGTGAATTTCAAGCCATTGGGCCCAGGACTTGAACTGCTGTTGGCCATGTGGGAGTACAACACCTTAACTACCATGCCACCTGCTGGTCCCAGAGGGAATACTTTTATAGTAGGCAACTTTACACACATATTAGAGAAGAGGTGGAACTCTAGATAAAGCTATTTGAGAAATTCAATTAAAAGAGAATCTTAAAAATTACAAGTCAGTATTTCATTACTGTATTTTAAGTATCTTTTCCACTCTCCTTGTCCAAATGGCTCAAGAGCTGACACAGGTTACAAAAATGCTGATCTTTTCTCATAAAGTGAATGTATTAAATCAGGAGATCTCTTATATGACTTTTCTGCATATTATAGGGATGCTGGCTCTGCCCCTTCTGTTCTGACGGAAGGTAAGGGGTCATTGAACATGTCCCTTGCTGTTTGGTGTTTGTCTCCAGCAGGGTCTTCCATCTGGAGCTTTGCCTTCTGCTGAGAGTGACCTATATTGATTCGAAGCTTTTATTAACATTTTTTTCATATTCTATCTTGCTTCTTCCTTTCCTACCTAATTAAGTTTAAAAACGTTCTTGACAAAGTAAAAGGTGGAAGCCTAGTTATTGAAGTGCATTCTTGTACTATATGATAAGGGTGCCCAGAAAAATTATACTGAATTAATTTTTTTAAAGTTTGTTTTATTTCCTTCATGAGTGAGTGCACACAAGAGAGTACAAGCTCAAGACAGAGATGATCATCCTTCACAGGATGTAATCATACCATGATTCCCCTCCCCTCACTCTCCAGATAGTTAGATCTTGAGTGCACATGCCTGATGTGTTTCCTTGCTAGTAGAGGAACTGACAGTGAATGAAGAGTTAAATAATGTCAGTAATGGACATGCTGTGAGGAAAAATCAAGTGGGCTAAGGGCAAAGCGAGTGACCAGTGGCCAGGAAGATGGTGCTCCAGGGAGAGTGAGAGGTCATGAAACCCTCTCTGAGGAGGTGATGTTTGGTGGATCCCAGAATAAGGTTGGAGAATAAAGCCAGTGGAGGTCATGGGGTGGTCATGTATGCATACACATTTGACATGCTTTCCAAGCCACTGGGTCCAGGGCTTGAACAGCATAGTTGGCCATGTGCATCCAGCTGGCTTAACCACTGTACCACCTGGCTAACTATTCTCTGTTTTTTTTTTGTTGTTGTTGTTGTTGTTTTTGTTGTTGTTTGTTTGTTTTTAAGTTTTTGTCATAGGGTGCATGCGCTCACTAGAGAGAAAGTGAGAAATCATCTCCCAGTGGGGATGGCTATGCTGCAGTCCTTCTCCGCCATTCTCTTGGGATTTTGGGCATGCAAGCACACGCGCCCAGTGTGATTTTCAAGTCGCCAAATGTGAGACTCGAACCATGGTCGATTTGTTTGTTTGTTTGTTGGCATGGTGTCTTCAGTCAGTGCTTGCTCTGAGCCTCAGAGCCTGCCAGGACTGCCCAGGCACATGTGTCCTTGCATAGGACTGCATCCCTGGCCCTGGAGCAGGAAGCAGAGGTGCTCACAGCACCCCCTCCTTGGTCCCTGTGTGGCCGGGCTCTGCCCTGGGCTGCTTGGTTTCTATAGATACAGATGTTGACTCAGCCTGCTCCTCCTCCGGCTGAGTCAGTCCCTGGGCTGTGTGGGGTGGCCGTTCTCTGCCCCAGACTTTTTGGCCCCCTGTGGCCTGCACTCTTGTATGTGTTTTTGGGAGCTCAGCTGAAAGCCAGCCTAGGACAGGGCTGCTGCTGTGGGGTTCAGAGCATGGAGCAACTGGGCAGGCAGAGCTGGTGCCTCCCGAGGAAGCCCTACCCAGCCTAGCACACCTGTGCAGGTAATGACTATAGCCCTAGAGGCCTTGGGCCCCGCCTGTCAGACCCAGCTGCCGGGGTTACTACAGGATTGTGCTGGGGGAGGCAGGGGTGTCTGAGCTAATTAGATTTCTTAGATTTCAATGCTCCCCTAATCCTGTTAGCCCGCTGTAATTGTAACCACTTGAAGGTTTCGGCTGTGGCAGGCTGTTAAGGACAGACGGTGTAGGGACTCCACTGTGCCCTAGCCCCAGCCCTAGACAGCCGGTTGGGGACTGGGGACTGCCCTCCTAGGTCTCCAGGGTGGGGGTCTGAGTGATGGTAGGTGTTGTGTTTTTCTATAGACACTCGGTATCACCAACTGTCAGACCAGACATGGCCCTTTGAGATTGTCCAACTCAAAGCCTTCGCTGTACAGATTAGGACACTGAGTTCACTGTACAGATTGGGACACTGAGGCCCATGGAGGGACAGGGACTGGCCCAGTTCCTCAAGGACTGATAATGGAAGAGTGGTGCATGCGCTCACTAGAGAGAAAGTGAGAAATCATCTCCCAGTGGGGATGGCTATGCTGCAGTCCTTCTCCGCCATTCTCTTGGGATTTTGGGCATGCAAGCACACGCGCCCAGTGTGATTTTCAAGTCGCCAAATGTGAGACTCGAACCATGGTCGACTATGTGGGAGTCCAGAGCCCTTAATCACCTTGTCACCTGTTGGTGCCCTCTTCCCTGTGTTTAAAGCTTAGAGTAGCTAACATTCAGCATTAGTTGGTGTGTAGACTCATTAGGAAATGTATAAAAGAAAATCCAGTTTTTCTTGACTTTGTTTTGCATTAGCACGTGCACACACACACACACACACACACACACACATGTAGAGTACTTAGCTATCATCATTGCTGCTTACAGTGATGAGTTTAAAATATATAAACTGTTTAAGAATAATGACTTTGTATATTGATATGCAGCTTATGTGCAATTTATAAGTATCTTTTATATAGCTTATCTGAGTTTGTATTAAGATCCTTAATCATCAATGATTTTCTAAGTTCATTAGTCTTTTCTAGCAGGAAACATGGATAATGTCTTCAAAGAAGCTTTTCATTTTAAAAATTTTATTCGTTATTATTATTATTTAATTTTCTATAAGACATGTGTGCTTATCAGAGAGAAACAGAGAGAGAGAGAGAGAGAAAAGAAATGGGAAAGAGAGAAAGCAAGCCACCAGGTCTGGTACTCGAATTTTTTGAGAGATTTTCACTGTAGGGCGTGTGCGCTTGCCAGACAGACAGAGAGAGACATAGAGACAGAAAGCGAGAAATCACCCCCAAGGGGGGATGGTCACGCCGCAATCCCTTCTCCTCCATTCTCCTCTCGGGATCTTGGGCACGCACACACACGCGCCAGGCGTGAGTTTTAAGCCACCCGGGTCCGGGACACGAACCGCGGTCGACTACGTGGGAGTCCAGGGACATAGCCATTATGCTAACTGCTGGTTCCCAAAGAAGCTGTTCTTAAGAAAGGATTTCAGTTTTAAACCATACTTAAAAGCAGTAAATGTACTAAAACTTTCTAGTGAAGTTTTCTGTAAATCCACTGTTTGTCCACTGGGCGGTGCAGTAGGAACAGAAATGGAATTCTATTTTCAAATGACTCCAACCTGTGCAGTGAAGTTGGGCAGTGGATGTTGTTTCCCCTCTCCTTTATCTTAATTCCCAGAGACAAACCCCCATGAAGAATAAAGGAACAATAATAACAAGGCTATTTTTGCTTTATCTGCTCCTCGAAATATGTATTAAAATTAAAAGGCAATAAACAAACAAAAATCAATAGTATTCCATTAGACCAGTGATAACAGAGAAGATGTAATAATGTAACGTGTAACATTCGTAGGAACAGCAGAAACCATAAAGTACCTACGTCTAAATCTAAGAAAAAATATACAAGCCTTTTTATGAAGAAAATACTAAAGCTGAGCAAGTAAAGGAATCTTCAGTAAAGGAAGACAATAGGTAGATATGGGATGTTAGTTCTCTCCAAATTAATCTGTCAGTTCTATGAGTCCCAATTAAAACCTCAGCAACTGACTATAGTTTATAGATTAATGAGGAGAGATGAATGGACTTTAATAACTATTTTATGTACAAAACAAGGCATAGGCCATTTCCTATAATTTATATGATCTTTTTCATGTTCAATATATAACCTATACAAACAAATAATAAAATAAATATTAACAGTCTCTTCCTCAGGGCTGTAGGACTTCAGTTCCTCAAATGCACTGAACTTTCTCTTATCTCTGGGTATTTCCATGTCCTGATCCCTCAATTCCTTCCTCAACCACTTTAACTAAGTCCTGTTGGCCTAACAGTACTTATCCTTGAAGTTTCTGTTGAGGTTCTCCCTCTGAGAAACACACACAGGAGGCTTATGTCCCTATTGTCTGCTTCTATCAGAGCACCTCAAAGGAGACCTGACAGTGCCCTCTTTGTCTCCTGCAGGTGAGAGAGTTTAAAGGTCAGCACTTTATTTTGGAGGAAGCAATTACAGGGGATTTTGCTTTGGTGAAAGCCTGGAAGGCGGATCGAGCAGGGAATGTGATTTTCAGGTATCGTTATGGTTTTAATAATAATAATGTAATATGTGTCAACAATTCAGTATTTCCTCAATTATGGTTACACAAAAAAGATATTGTAGAGGGTTTGCTATGTGAAAATTCGCTTTTTAAAATGGCTTAAGATCATACATAATCCATGTGTGTGCATACATAAATGTGTATGTGCGGGGCTGCTGCTGTGTGATTGGCTGCTGTCTTGTGGGAGTCTGTTCTGAGTGGTTGATGTCCATGTTGCACTGTGTGTTAAATAATTAGGTCATCGGGAAAGTCATGCTGTATTTTTGTGTGTTTTTCTGTGGAAAATGTCTCATGATTTTCCTGATGACCCAATATTTGAATCTATGTGCCCTTGTATGATGAGGTCTTCAAAAAGTTCATGGAAAATGTGTATTGTAACAAAACTCTGCATGAATTTAAATTTTTTGTACCAAATACACTCATATTTTACTTCTATTTTGTCTTGAATGTTTTGAAGTGTCCTTGTATATGGTCATATGTCATTATTTTTTCCCTGTGTATTTTAGTTGCTAAGACCAGAAAACATGGCAACGGTATACAATTAAATTTGATACTGTAATTACATGCATTGTCTTAAAATGTCAATTACCTTGCTTTTCTAGAAAAAGACTGCTAATAATCATTTAGGTCAGTTCATTTTCAGTCTTAGGAAATGCTTATATAGATTCTATCTGAAAAGTTGATTAATCTTAATAATGCCAACTATTGCTTGGATAGTCAAAGGATGAATAGACTTTAGAATCTTTTTTTTTTTTTTGAGAGGTTTTTTTTCGCTATAGGGCGCGTGTGCTCGCCAGACAGAGAGAGACATAGAGATAGAAAGCGAGAAATCACCCCCCAGGAGGGATGGTCATGCCGCAATCCCTTCTCCTCCATTTTCCTCTCGGGATCTTGGGCACGCACGCACACGCGCCCGGCGTGAGTTTTAAGCCACTGGGTCTGGGATGTGAACCGCGTGGACTACGTGGGAGTCCAGTGACATAGCCATTACACTAACTGCTGGTTCCCTAGACTTTAGAATCTTTTGACTGCCCTAAACATATCAAACATTTAATATCTTGATTTATAGATTAAATTTTAATTTTTAAAAATTATGACTCCTTTGAATATGTACTTAAGAGTTTTCCAAAATGTTTGGTCTTGAAAACTTCACCCATGGGGTTAAAGAAATCATTTTCTTTCTCACGATGTTGTCTTTTGTCATTTTTCGCTAGCAGTTTTTTATCTTTAGCAAATGTGGTTTTGGTAGGATCACTATTAAATTCTCAGCCACACTCTCATATTGCTTTTGTTTGTTTCTGAAAGACATATGTGATGTTATTACCCTTTTTGATTTTGCTGGTTTTTAGAGTATAACTCATTTTGACAATTACAGGAAACATTCTACATCATATCTATTATATCTCATTTGACATTTGTGTAACATTTATGAATCCTTAATTGCTTTTTAAAAAGAGATTAATGAAATAAGCATCTCTATGAGTTTATCTTCTTGTTGTTATTTATTGCCTGGCCCTGGTATCATCTAAAGATTCCACAAAGGCTACTTCCTGACTATTCTTGTGGTTATTGAGATCTGGTGTGAATAAAAGCACTCATGACCAATGTCAAGTGACCTCAGATTGCTTTTACATCTAGTGGGACAGCTGGTATGAGGGCCTGTCTAGGCCATTGTTCAAGTGGGAGAACCTGGCATCTTTTGCCTCTGACCAGTCAGTTTTGGGGGCTTTTGATGCCTGGATGTTTGGTGGAATCCAGTTCAGCCACTTGTGAAATTTTACAAGGACTCCTTCCTTTCACGGTCATTCCTATCCTGACACCCATCTTTGAATTTGAGCAAAAGAAACATTGGTAGTCTAAAAGAGTTAGTAATATACAACCGTGACTCATATCCTTTGACCAAAGATATTTTTCTATTGATGTATACTCTCTGAAACAAAAATACATTTTAATTTTTGTGGTTAGGGGAAACATATTCATTGAGGAATTTGAGAAAGCAAAATTATCAGCAAAATTGGCACCTACTTGAAATTTTTGCACTTTAGGGTCTGACGTGGGTGTCGTCATTTAAATTTCATCAGAAAATGGTTCTCAAGAGTGCTCTTTATAGGTGACTCATGAATTCCCAATGAATATTTCATTTAATTTCAGCAGTAGGCTTTTCTTTCACAGAGAATATAATTACTATACCTTCTCATGTGAAATTCTTGCTACTTTTCCTTAGTTAATATTTTAATGAAAGAAGTTGTTCAGTGAAATATCTAACTATAGGAACAAAGTAGTATATCGGACAAAAGGTTAAGAGAAAATAATTTCAAATAATGTAGATTTGTTAATACCCATTTTGTTTTTGTGTGTGTAAAGCTATGTGTTGCATATGAATTGTTTTTTCTCTCACCTGCATAAAAAAAGCTATGCAATATCAGTGAAATGGTCATCATATCTTTTTAATTTAGAAGAGTAATAAAACTTTACTAATGTAAAACATGGTACATTCTTTTTGGAAAATTTTTAGTTCATAGAAATGGTTTTAATCTATACATTTTAAAATCAAAAGAGACACTTCTTATTTTGGATCTTCTTTCTCCACTTTCTTATTTCCCCCACCTCAATGCAGGAAAAGTGCAAGGAATTTCAATTTACCAATGTGCAAAGCTGCAGACACCACAGTGGTAGAGGTAAGAAAAGAAGTTATTTCTGAATTCCTGGTGTTAATTTTTTAACTTGGTTATGTATTAGTTCAAGAAAAAGTCTGGCAGTTAATTTGTTTCCTGAAGGACAAACAATGACAGCTTCTTCATTTTGGAAACGATGATTCTATTTAAATATATGGTAGTCGAACTTTTGCTGCAGTGTGAACTTGCTTACAAGGTCTCACTAAAGTATTTACTCTCTTTGGGAATCAAGCCATGGGACCAGCTTATGAAAGTCCTTTGGTCCTGGAATAAAATAGGTCTTTTTGGTGAAATCCTAAGATAAATTTTTGTGTAGAGAGTCCCAGAAAAGTAGTAAATTATATCAGAAAAAGATTATTACCTTACTATGATAGATACTGTGAATTTTTTAAGGGAGGAGGGTAATATAAATAATTGCTTGGTGTGGCTTTATTTAAAATAGCTGAATTCAAGCACTAACTGATTCTCCTCTGGGCCTTTCAGGGGTTGGGAGAGGCTTGAATAATTCTAGAGCCTTCCCAAGCTTAAGGTTGTAGGGCAGAAATAGGTGCCTATATAATTACCTTGCTGTTTGGTTTATACATATTTGAACTCCAAAAGAGATTTCAAATGATATTTAAATTGAAGCTATGAGGATCATCTTGGAACCTCATTTTTTATGGGAGCTTGAGATAGCCGTCCCTTGACAGGACTTTATAGCACCTACTCTGGTGTCTGGAAGTGAGAATTTCACGTATGTTCCTGTATTTTCACATGATGATGGTGTTTATGTGGCCTTTTTGATTCCTGCATATGAGGCCAAGACGCGGTTTCATGGAACAGGTACAGTAGGATTTCCGAAACAATCAGACGTGAAAGTCCTGCTCCTGTCTTGGAAAGTGAAGCATTTTATTTTCAAAGTGCTGGGGGATGTGGTACTTTTAACCTAGGCATGGTGGTTTCTTGTGCAATGGTTTTAGTATATTTTCAGCATTTAAAATGGATAATGTGGTTTACTCTCTCCATGTAATTGTTTTTTATTTATTAAATCATCTTAATGACCTGCCTGTGGTACAATCTGTAGCATTACCGAAAAAAGGACTATAATGTAGCTTAAAATAATTGATAAACATTCAATTGATTTTTATGTACTTCTGTAAAACTGCCAGAAGCCAGTATTTCTTCCCTCAGCCAGTATTTCTTCCTAAGTACTGAGGGGCATTGTATAATAACCTTATCCTGGGCAAAGTTCTTCTTAAAGTTTATTTTTATATTATAATCTGTTTTTAAAAATTTTTTTAGCCAATCTTATTTTTTGTAAGAAGAGAAAATGACCTTGTAGTATTCAAGAATCATTGTACACATAAGAAAAGAGACTCTGTTTGCCAAAGGAGAAAACATTCCTTTAACTGAGCCTGCACGTACAACAAAGGCTGCCTTTCCTGTCTTGGCCAGGAATCTCTCACTTGTCAGCCATCT